GAGAGAGAGAGAGAGAGAGAGAGAGAGAGAGAGAGAGAGAGAGAGAGAGAGAGAGGCGGAGAGAATTAAAATGACACGATATTAAAATATAAGACACGATTTTCATCAAAATATAAAAAAAGCAAGAATATCTAAATTAACATACCTAGATGTTGACTTGCACAGAATCCATGCTGTCTCATAATTTCGATAAAAGTTTGTGTTAGAAATAGCGTACATTTTTTTGTTATATTATTTTCATTATATATTATGTTATTATATGTTGTACTGTATATTATTATTATTATTATTATTTTATTTTAATTATTTTTTGTTGTAATATTTTTTTTATTATAGATTAATTTTGACTTAAAATTTTTTTTGTGACATAATGAAGCCAAAATCATGTTACAAGAAAAATTTTCTTTCACAAAAACAAATTTTATTGCTTCGAAATTGTTTTCAGATATTTGTTGCATTTCACGGCGATTTTTTTTTTTGTGATTGTTTTTTGTTATCGACCTCGTATGATATTTATATTTGATATTAAATCTTTTTATTTGAATATTTCGTTTATTACTGTAAAAATTATATTAAATATTCTGAATGGTTGATAGTTAATAATTAAGTAATTAAACCTAAACGTCAATTATTTGGCAGAAAAAATTAAAAGTAATTTTTTAAATAAATATACTCATAAAGGCGGTATTTATAATCGGTTTTTAATATGTCTTAAGATACTAATACGGCCCTTTGATTGGTTTATGACATCCTAAGACTATGTATGTACTTAAGACAAATATAAGAATCGACTATGAATACTGATCTAAGGTATTTATAATCGGTTCTTATTTTAAGATCGTCTTAAGTAATGTCTTAAGATGCTAATGAATCTGTCTGATTGGTTCATGACACCTCAAAATTGAACTTAAGACGGTCTTGAATATAAGAACTGACTATGAATACTGGCCTAAGACAGCTCGAGTAATCAAAAAATAAGTACTTGCCAAAAAAAACATAAAAACAATCATCAAAAAAGAATTCAAATATACATTATTCTTATCGGGAAGGTTCCGATTGCCTACATGCACGATTGCACACATTGCTCGCTGATTGGTCAATTTAAAAATAATATAATCTCATTGGTAAAGCAGAGAAAAGTTACTAGACACCGGCCGATGTAACTAATGCGTGCAATCGGGAATGTAGGCAAACAGGATCCTCCCATTCTTATATCGCTTCCCAAAAAGAGAAAGTATTAATATTAACGAGGAAAGAAGCTCATGTAAAATCAATTTTCATTATGGCAAAAAATAAAATCATACATAATTTCACTATATTATACAGTGTAAACAAACATAATTAAAAACACAAATAAGTAAAGTAATAATGACATAATCTCTAATTCAAATAATCGCGGCAACATGACGACATATGGTGTCACGCTTTCATTGGCTGTTAGAAATGTATGCGCAAGAAGACACCTGAGTTCTTATGGTCAGGATTGTCAGGATCAGTCAGGATAGTTCGGTTCGTAGTGCGGAAAACACGGCGGAGGGGGGAGGGGGATATTGCTCTGGTAGTAGGGGTCAGTGCTGGCTAACAAACTTTTAGTTACCTATACCTAAATAAGATACATACTTGTTAGTGTTTTTGAACAACGCATGTAATGTAGCTTTTTGCATTGAAATTTAAGCTTTATTTATTGAAAAATTATTAATTATAATATTACTATAAAAAATAGAAATTTATTTTTACTGTTTATCTAAAATATTATCAAAATTTTAGATAATACTTTTAAGTGATATTGCAATAAAAATACAAAAATCTATATATTATAATAATTTTTATTGCGTTTATCTCTAAATTACATATTTTTAAAATATCTTTAAACGATTAAATGTAAAAATATTTCATTTATGTCATATATACAATTTGTACAAACATAGAATAATACATATTTTCTGATAACATTAAAAATAGATTTATGATAATTTAAATATTTTTCAGTAATTAGATAAAATCCATATATTAAATTAAAAAATATGCATGTATGTTTAAATGTATATTTAAAAATAAGAAGTGCATATTAACTGACTTATGTCAACAGAAATGTAAATGTAAGTATTAATTTGTATTGATAATTTATATTTTATATTAAATCTATTTTTTAATTATTTTTTGTTAAAGTATTTAATTAAATGCTGTTTTATTATACTTTTTTATCTTTTATTCTTCATTTACATCTTATTAAGACAGTTACTTGCGACGGTACTGAACTGGGTTTCTGAAGAACTACTCGCTCGCGAGTTGTAGCTTTCTCTCGACGTGACCAGTCTCGATGCGGCCGCCTTTTTGAGTCTTCCGATCGAAAGAACATGTCCATTCGAAAGTGCACACTAAAAAGTTAATTGTATCAGTAAGTGTCGATGTAACGTACGTCGCATAAGTCAAAGTGTACTGTTAAAAGTGAAAGAATTTAAGAGAAATCGTGCACCCTCGTGTGTATACTCGTCGATAGCTCTAAATGATCTGTGATCTTTGTGCTGAAAATGTCGGGAATTTGAGGGATAAAACGGAAACGATTCATCAGAAGTGATTATACAGTGAGATTAAAAAATCATAAATGTAATTGTAAAAAATTTTTTATGATTTTAAATCCAATTTTGAAGATTTGAAATTCAAACATCAGATTGTTTATGTAATCCTGAGGATATAACTATTGCAATAACGGAGGAATATACCGATAATTATGATGAAAATTATAATAATTGAATGTGTTATTTAAATATAGGTAAATTTTGTTTGAAAGTTTTTCCAAGCAGTAGAAGAGTCTTGTAAAACAGTTACGATAAAATACAATTTTTTTTATTAAATTAATATATTATAAATTGTTAACTTTAAATTTTTTTTGTGTACTTTTGTTCTATAAAATATTTAATTGTAAAATTTAAAAAATTATATTTATAACAAAACTTACTTAAAGAATTATATTACTGTTCGAAAAAAATACAGAATACTGCCGACGGATCACACGGAATTTCTACTGATTGTAGAAAATATATTAGAAAGAATATTTTATTGTATATATTGTGTGTGTGTTGAATAAAAGTTTTTATTTTAATTAAGCGTAGAGAGAGAGAGAGAGAGAGAGAGAGAGAGAGAGAGAGAGAGAAGTGAAAATTTTTGAAAAATCAAAATCTTTTATGATATTCTACAAAATGCGTTGTTGTATAACGAGATCGATTTGAATATGCGGGCATTGAAATCTCCAGAGGGAATTTTGACAACGTTAAATAGAATTTATTGAAATTTTGTTTGTATTAAACATAACTTTCAATTTGTTTATGAATAACTTTATAGAAAAGGGAAAAAGAGAGTCAGGAAAAGTAAAAGATCTCAAATTATAACATCAATTACAACGTTTCAATAAATATGAATAATTTATACTTTGATTTTAATGACAGTCGTGTGTATGTATTTATATATATTAAAACATTTTATAAAAATATCTAAAGATTTACATTTATTATTGACAAATGATAATAATTATTTGCATTTCCATAAAATAAAAAAATTTAATAATTAAATATTTATAGGTGCAATATGTGAAAATTTTGAATAATCTTTTCAAATTCATTTGTGTAGTTACCACAAAATTAAATATAGATTATATTCTACATAGATTATTCACCGAAAATGATAAATTTTAATGCACAAGAAATGAGAAATTAATTCATTAAATTAAAATAACTGATTCGTTTCAAAACTTATTATTATTGAGATAGTATTTTATTTTTTACAGAATTTTGTTACGAGATTTCTGTACCTTCGAAAAGTTCTAACATTTGAGACAGGAATGCTAATTTGTGATAAATAATTTTATTATCAATTAAATTTTTCCGGATCAAGTATTAAATTGATGATGATCCCTTATATTTGGTATTCGATGACTTTTGTGCTACGTGATATCGGCAAGAAGACCAAGTCTTTGTGTGATAGTTCATTTGGAGTGTAATAAAACAGCAATGTGTTGCCTTTGTGCTTTTCATTTGGAGGTAAATTTTGATCCAACGGATTTCAATACGGATTAAGGATTACTTTTGCAAGTGACGCCCTCTGGATAAGCGTATATGGCTGGTAAGTGTATTTGTGAGTCTTTGTGAGCGGTAAGGGCGTATAATGATCACAGAAACATATTTAAGCTCCATTTGTTGATTATTCCTAGTGGTCTATAATGAGAAAGCATCCAATAAGCGAAAGAATTTCTTGTTAGAATGAGCTTTTCTTAAAATTTAATTAAATGTGCCATATACATCTTCCATATACATCTTCCAATTTTTTATATCTTTCCTCTCTTTTCTATGTTTACCTCCTTACATATTAAAATTAAACAATAAATTATAAGTCTCACACACACACACATACACACACTAGAATATTAATTCAAAACAACTAATTTCAGAACTATTCGAATCCTTTGTTTACTTGAGTTTTTTTTTAATGTAATATTGTTTTTAATTGCCCGACTAAAAATTGCTATATCTAAAAATTTTAACATTGAAGATGAGACCATGTAAAAAAGATTAAAACGTTTGTTTTTTTTATTAGTAAATTGTAATTATCGCAAATTATTTCCAGCATGGCTCAAATAACCCTAACATTTCTTCTTATATATATCTTGTTATATATATTTATTAAATTTTTAATTAAAACTTCTCCCAACAATTAAACAGTCTATAAAGTTCCATTTATGAATGAAATTTATATATTAAATAAGATAAAAGAATAAGAAGTTCACGCAATCTTTTACCTACAGACGTTGATTTGCAAAAGTTTGTTTATTTTTAACAATTTATATTAACTTCTGAGTCTTTAAAATAATCTTATTTAGAGTTCGCGTACACGTAGTTTATCAGCGTCCGCGTTCAGAGTTTCGTCTTTAATAATGCTTATGGTTTGTTGAAACACCCTGTATATTCTCGTAAAGTTTTACTAGAAGGCGCAAATACCGGTTTCGCGCGAGTTAGATGCAAGTATTTGCTCGTGCTCGCACACATGGTTATACGTGTGTACGTTCACACGTGGCGGCGCCGGTACTATCCGACAATGTCGTGCGCCACACAAACAAATTATACAATAATCCGTATATAATGTAGGTACACGATTATATTATTAACTGATATCGCTAAAAGCAAGTTTGTGTACTTCGAAATAAAACAAAACCGTCAGAGAAAAATCTCGTAATATTTCCTTTTAAGAGTTTT